TGGCAGGCAAATTCCCGGCTCGTCATGTTATTAGTTGTGCATTTGAAAACCGCAGCAGGAAATTGACTCGAGTCCAAGTTGGGCGAATTTCACCTCCGAAGATTTAAATGGGCAATTTGTACGCATTAGATAAGTACAAGGATTTGCAACAGATGGAGGAGCCAAGTGACAATGGGAACATGTTTGAAAAAACACTATAAATAAGAGACTTAGACCGAAGATTATATTTAATTAATATGTTCTTAAATTATAATTATGGAAGAGGGCTTAAAAATAAATTCGTTAGAAATGTGCATTTAAAAGTACAAAAACTAATTAATTAATTACTAATCAAACATTTTGGCTAAAACCCATGATTTTTCCACTTAATGATTTTCCCTTTAGACACTTCATTGACTTCGGTACATTGAGTTCCCCGAAGTCGCGCTTAACTGACACGAGAGCAAAGGTTGCACATTATTAGTGTTGATTTGTGCACTTTGTTTGGTAGACCCCCCAACCTCCCCCCACTCTGTTCAAGCGATGCCAAAGGCGAGCTGTCGACGCCTTCGGTGCCAGCAAGTTGCAACTGCAGTTTCAATCAATCAAACGCGAGGCGAAACGGATGTGGACATGCCACTTCACACACGCCACGAAAGCGCCCGAGGTTGTGTTGGCCAAAGGTGTCAACAAAGGTGTGCCACTGCAACAGCTCCAGCAAAAACAACAGCAACAGCAGCAACAACAACATCAACAAATACATTAACCACAACAAGAACATCAGCCACGACTGTTTGTGCAACTCCAAGTGCGGAATGAACGAACGGATATGTGGCAAAGTTTCCTGAATGGCATTCTGCTGGTGAAAGGCAATTTAATTGAGGGACTTCACGCCCGACGCGGCCTGCTCTGTTTTCATTTCGTTATTAAGCTGAAAATCGGTCCAGTGAACGGGGCGAAAATGTTTGCACACCCAATTTATCATTTCATTTACAGCGCGAAACGCACAAAAATGCAACCGCATTTGGACAACATTAATCATACGACATGTTGACAGCTGTCAGCGCGCCGTTCGTTGATTTTGTTGCCACTGCGTTATTGCTGTTGCCTTAGCTGGGCAACTGCAAATTGCTGAGCACGTTGGCCGATGAACATTTTAATTCAGTTCCAAAGGGAACGCGATGAGTTGAGCTTTACAGGCATCAAATCGAAATCCTGCAAACTGATAGGACTCTCTTAATAAGGTTAATTATCCTTACTTTTCCATCAACCTGTTATGCACAGGTTACAGAATTAAATCAAAATTAAAAATGTATTTTATTTTCTCTTTAAAAGTTCTGTTAAACTTTATTCAGAATTGAATTGAATTTATAATCATTTTGAAAATATGAATATTGCACTGTGACCCAGATTTCTTGAAATATTTTTTTATATTTATAAGAAAAGCAATGTTGAAGTCTTTAAAGAAAATGAGAAAGTCATTTATATTTGAGAGAATAAGGAGAATAACCTTCCAAGATACCTAGCTTGAAAAGACAATGATAAAATGTATATTAGTTAATGTCCTAACACAAAAATAATCGAAATTATATAATTTCCCACTTTTCCCATTTTTTGCGAGCATAATCTGAGAGCTCTTTCATCCCCGTCCCAGTGGGATCGTAATAAATCTTTCTCGCACACTACTCCAAATGAACAATGAAGAATAATGAGGCCTGTGCCAAAAAGAAAGGAAATTCTGACTTGTCCACAGGAACTGAACCGAGTGAAGGAGAGATTGAGCGAGTGGCAAAGTACATAATAAGCTCATTAATCATGGGACACACAAAACCGGAAGGAAAGTGCGACTGCGGAGAGCAATCATCATCCATATGGAGTGACTGTGTGTCACTCAGTTCTCAGCTCCAATCGTGCGAAATGTGGGCACAAACACATTTCGTCCGGAGGGGGCGTGTCGTATCTTGCAACAGTTTGATCATTAATTAGCTGGCATTTAATGTTAGATGGCCCCTGTGCCCGTGCAACATCATTAATCTCGCTTGAGAGCGAACAAATTGATGCCCCTGGTTGCCTGACCGGCCTGTCTTGGCCTGGAACAAATCTAATATACTTCTTTTTTCCGGCATTTCCGTCTGGGGCATTTGTTATTTTGAATTGTTGTAGAATTTTTCACAATTTTCACATTTTTCAACATCCGCCATGGCGCGGCAACAATGGCCGAAGGACGAGAACCAAACATCATCATCATCAGAAGTCGGGGCAGCATCGTCATGGTCTTCATCTCATTGTCGGTTCCATAATTCGAATCATTTATAACTGGGGAAAGATGTAGTTTTGGGTAACGCACTTTCTGTACTTTAGAGATTACTAATATTTATTAAAGACCTTTCTTAAGTAGCTTTAAATTATAAATAAACAACGTACAATGGCTTTCCTTTGTTTATTTTTTTTTGGAATAATTTCTGGAGAGTATGGTATTATCAGAAATTAAAAGGCGTTGTATATTATTATACATTAACAGATTACACAAATATATTAATAATTAATACAGAGTTCTATAAGAGTTGATATTTAAATAATATGTTATTTATTTTAATCGAATGTAGACTAATAAAAGTCTATAAAATTGTAATTAAAGTTTAAAATCCTCTATGAAGGGTATCAACTCGCTGCGATCTTAAATACTTAGTTAAGTGAATGGCGGGTCGGTCATTGGTCCGGGGCAGTGATGGCTACCGTCGTAATCTCGGATCCGAGACGTCCGACAGACGCCCATCCAGCTGTCCAGCTGTCCACCTTCCGTCCGTCTGCATTGTCCACCGAGATTTTTTGATTGATGGCGCGAGTGGCGCACGTTGCAGTGCTCTTAAAATTTTTATAAATTATAATTTTTCCATCGACTGGCAAACATATTTTTCATGTCATGTCATTCCCCCGCCTGTCCTGCACACCGATTGATTGATGAAAATGCGAGGCGTGTACGAAATAAAGGAAAGAAATATAATAATAATGATATATCTATGCAAATTACGGCACACAAATTATTAGTTTCGTGTTCTGCGAGGATGACGACGACATCGGCTCTCGAGTCAGCCAGCGGAATTTCATATTAATTTGCTAGCCATTAATCATCCGCTGAGGGGGTGTCGCCGCCGTTGTTTGATTTCTGTTGGGTTGGTGTCAGAGGTGGCAATTCGTTGCTGGGGTGTGCTCAAATTTAAGTGAATACATGCTGCATAATTTAAATAATTGAAACAATGGAAGGGAAAAACGCCCAATTCGTTTTAACGAAACACAGCAACTGAAGTTGCTTTAAAATACCCAAACAATGGTAATTCAATTTGAATTTGTTTGTAATTTGTTTGCTTAAGATACAATAGGGTACTTAAACATAAAAACCATTAAAAACTCTTATTGATTATAGGAGTACCAAATTACCTAATACCTAAGAAAAAATCACCTTCTCTTTAGAGGCGAAAACGTAACTAATCTGAATTATTTAAATCTAATCCACAGTATCGCTTGAAGCGTTGTCGCGAATTAAGTGCATTGCTTTCTGTGGCATTTCTCCGAGTTAATCTTTGTGCATTTCCACAACTTCATTCTGTGGCCTTTTCTGGGCTGGCCAGAAAATGGAATTTCCGACAAACTGTGCCCCGATATAGTTGGAAAACAAAAACAAAGCTATGCTGCACTTCATCCCGGCATATTCTCGACTCGACACTGTTTGACTCCGGCTCTGCGGCTAAAGGGCAATAAAAACTATTTACAGTTCAATTTGCTATAATATTTGCAGCTGAAAACCGCAAACGACAAATATGCACCACCAAACCAAAGCGACACCAAACCAACAACCACAGACAAAACGACCTTTCCCTTCATTTTCCCACTAGGAAAAGCCTTCCGCTTGCGAGATACGCAAATAGCTTAAACTTTTTATGCACAGTAGCTGGTCATGATGAGGGTATATTGAGCTTTATACAAGTTATTATTGTGGAAACCAAGAGGATGAACAGGTAATTCTGGGGAAAATGACCTGATTAATATTCTTTATTCATATAAAAACTATAAAGTGAGAAGAATATTTAGTAATAAGTATTGGGCATCAACTATAATGAGTCCATTTTTAAGTTTTTGAACTTAAGTGAGATATACATACGTACTAAAGAAATATACTTTTAAAATACTAATATCCAGTATGTTTCTTAGTATTAGAAAGCGAAGTATATGTCCCTTTAGAGGGTATCTTACCTTCGAATCTCCCAACCAAAGGATTCCAACGTGTTTAGCATGCGCTGGCGCATTCAAAGTGGAATCAAAGTTTATGCACATGAGGACATTCAGATGGGCAGGGAATGTTCGTTTGCGTATCTGAAAATCTACAGACAATAATCCAGTGTTGAATAGTGCGGGAGCACTGAAAGGGTTAGGTTGCTTTCGTGTTGCCATTCCGGCCACTCGACACTTTCCATGGCAAAAGTTATGCAACCAATTTACATACAAAAACAACTCAATAAACGTGCGAAATGCTAACGATTTGTAAAAGTTGGAATCCCCCCAACTCGCACACATGAGTGTATTACGTCCTGTTATTGGTTTTTGTAGCCATTCCACAAGGGCAGGCCCAAAGGATGGGGATGGGTATGTGGATGTGGATGCCACCGCCACTGCCCTGGCAATTTAGCAAAGTATTTCCTCGTCGCTCTAAAAAGTTGCCCACTTTTTGTTACACCAACATGAGACGCATACCCGGGCTCGTCGTCGTCGTCGTCTCGTAAACTGTGGGCTTATTTTCATGCCCGGAGCCATGAAAACGGAAATTGTGCATGAAAGCTGACTGCTAACCATGCCCCAAAGCCATGCCCCGGATTGCGGGGGCAGCGGAGCACCCACTTACACGAACCTAACTCGATTATTATAATATTCAACTATATAATCCAATAGGAAAGTTTGCTAATAAGCTGCTAGTTGAGTGCCAGTTAACATTGCCAGTTCACCCGGGATTTCAGGAGGACGCAAGGATGGCTGGATGGGAATGTGGTTCGGTTTTATTGTTGCGTATGGGGAATGGGGGTGTAGAGGGGGTCGAAAGTCTCGAGTCAATTTCAATTTGGCCCGCAGAGCGATAATTGCAAATGTAAGGGAATTGAACGTTTGATTCGCTCTTATTGAGATGATTCGGGTAATCACATCAGCTTAGTTGATTGAATGGCAGGTCAGCTAAGGAATTATATTGCGCAACATTTCAGTTGAAGGAAGAAATTAGTAAATCAAGTAGGACAGTAAGTTTGACAGAAATTTCAGAAAATACAAATTCAAAAGTCACAATAAGAAATAAATAAAAATATCCTGACAACACAATTCATTTTAAAATAAAGATTTATATAGCGAAAATGTCCGGACTGTCCCGTCGAATTATCAAGGAGACGCAACGCCTTCTGGAGGATCCAGTTCCAGGGATAAGTGCCATCCCGGATGAGAATAATGCCCGTTACTTCCGTGTTCTTGTGAGTGGCCCAAGAGACTCGCCCTTTGAGGGCGGAGTTTTCCGACTGGAATTGTTCCTGCCCGAAGACTATCCCATGAAGGCGCCAAATGTTCGGTTCTTGACGAAGATCTATCATCCCAATATCGATCGCTTGGGTCGCATTTGCTTGGATGTGCTGAAGGACAAATGGAGTCCGGCGCTTCAGATCCGCACCATACTGCTTTCGATCCAGGCCCTGTTGAGTGCTCCAAATCCAGACGATCCACTGGCCAACGATGTGGCCGAGTTGTGGAAGGAAGATGAGGTGGCGGCTATTCAAAATGCTCGGGACTGGACCCTAAAGTATGCCAACTGAAGATGATTTCCTAGAAAAGGAAATAAACCAAATAAAATACATTTGAAAAAATAAATTATACAACATTTGTTTTTTATTTACAATTTTAGAATTGAATTTATTATTTTTCTGCGTGCCTTAGAGTCTAATTTTGTAATTAGACTGGCTGGCTGTCGTCTTAACTGAATTAAGCTTTGAAACGCGGCATTACCTAATTTGTGTCAGAGAGTAATTGTCGCCCCCGCGGCGGGATGTCTAATTGCAACTAATCACACACGGATACAACCATGTTCGGCCACAAGTGCCGCAGCAACAAATAAGGCATCGCGGCGACTTTCACTAAACACGAGCGACGTGGCATGAAAAATGACTCCGGTCCAGTGTGCCCCATACAAAAGCGACTGCTAACGGTATTTAATGACACATGAAGTCGTCAATCACTCGTAAATCTCGACATGTCGCCGTACCCAAAGTCTCTTCACTTCACCGGACTTCTCCCGCACCTCGAGAACCCAGGCAAACTCAAACTCGAACCGAAACTCAAACTGAAACTCAAACCCAACCCAACCAAAACAAAACAAAACCCAAGCGAGTCAAAAGCGAAACGAAAAACGCTCCCGGTAGCAACACAATTTGACAGCTGCCTGACAGTTTAAATTAATTGATTTATATGGGGTGCCTGGAACGGAAAGTGGACTCTGCTGGGAGGTTAGGGAGTGGCGCTTTCGCTTAATCGCCCCCGAACAAAGAAAGCTGAAAGTGGCTTGTACCGACTGCGAAATACCCTTTAGTCAAAGGATAACCTAACGCACAAGAAAACTATACCTTTTGATTTACTAAATTAATAATAGTATTTTCTTTTATAGCTACACACCCAAAAACAAAACAAACTCCTAACATTTAGGAAATATTACCTTTAAAATGAATGCTCAGTCCACATATTTTAGGAAAAAATAATTTTTTTTTACTACCTCTACTAATTAAATTGGCTCATTGTTTACGTCAAATTTTCTAAGTCTAACGCCATTTTGAATTTTTTTGAAGAAATAGGTTTTAATACAACAAATTTAATGAGCATCAAATAGAGCTGCTTAGGCCATCTAACGATTCGTGCATACCCCCAATCATTATAATACCTGGCATTTAAATATATTGATATGGGCTTTCAATTAACTGAATGGCATCGTATTTTCCAATCATTTGGGAGCCTAGACCCGCATTTGAGGCGCTACCTTGGGGTTATATCTGTGTTTGCCGTCGTGTCAAATGTGGCCCAAGTACTTGCCACTTTTGAACAGACCCGTCGAGACACCTGCCACACTCTAAGCTCAATTTATCAGAGGAGCTGCGATCTAGCGGTGTCTGATTTATAGACAGTGTAATAACATTATCGATTTGCTTAATTATATGATGAATAGTGTGCGCCCTGGCGGGGCATTCGACGATTATCTCGAGGGTTACTCAAACTCAAGTGTCTGGCGCATAAATCAAGAGCGCTGGAGCTGTCACGCGAATTGACCCGGCCACGGACGCAGTCGCGCCACTTGACTGATGATGTCTTGGCCCCGATGCGATCGGGCCATCGATCTGGTGTGGGATGGGGATCTCTGGCTTTGCATTTCACTTTCCGACTTTGTCGCCGCCACTTACAGATGCGTCAAAACTAACAAGATGGATGGCATGGAACCGCCAAAAGGCGTCGATCGGCGATCACCGATCACCGATCAAGTGATTGTTGATGTCTACGTCGGAACTCGAAATCTCTGGGGTAACCACAGGGGTAACCTCGTGGCGTCTTTGATTCGGAGTCTTTTGTAATGTCTCGACAGCGCTTGATGGATGCCTTGATGAGCTATGGCCAAATGAAAAGGAAAGCCGATATAAATTATGAGTGGTATTTATATAAGGAAATAAGGTAGGGGCCAATTTTAAAAATAAATCTTTAAAATAGTTAAAGTCTTGGAAACTGCAATTTTCGGCACTTTGATTTTACTAATTGTTAAATGCATGAATGCATGTTTAATGTATGTCAGAAATTATAAAATAATTCTCTAAAATACTTGACGGTTGCAACTAAAGAAAATATTAACTAAAATTTACACGCTTCCATTATTCCAATTGTTAAGAATATATATATAATTAAAAATGCTATTACCAGTTATGTATCATTTGTAATGGCAACAGTATTGTGATTATGTTTTATTTCATATTGCAAATAATAATTAATTAAATGGTCAACTCTCGTTCAGTTTTTAAAAATCTACTAATAATGTTTTTATTACTAAATCAAATGAACGGATTGTGTGATTATTATATTGACTATTTTCCTTTAATATTCAAAATTCTGTGCACTATGCTTATAACATAAATCATAATCGGAAATGGATATTTTATATATATCCGATTCAGCTGATAGAAATAAAATAAAATGACAAAAGTACACTATCGATTTGCACAGAATGCTAACAAAACAAATCTCATTTTATTTGATTTTTATTGAAGGACGGATTATATTCGTCTCGCAAAGGACACCCACCTTCCCTTTACTTATCTGAGCATCCACTTCTGTTACAACTTCATTTGAGCAAATCTCTATAATCCCATCTGATTCCGCTGGCACAAAACAAACTTTGCTGGTCCCTCAGACGGCAAATAACTCTTTTTCGTAGCCAGGGCAAACAATCCTTGGGCCGTCGTCGTCTCGTCCCCGTTAATCCCGCTCGTAAGCATTTTGTCACATTTCAAAATCATTTATCAAGAGCTTTCACAACAGCAACCCTCACGCCCCGTTCCGATCCGCATCCGAATATGAACCCCATTCACATCGCATCTCTGTCACTGCACTGACAGTTGTGCACATTAATTTTTCAACACAGACTTTGGGAAATTTGTTCGGGCCACAAATTTCTCGATGCGATGCGATGCGATGCTCAATGGGAGACAACGAATAAAATACAAAATAAACATCTCTCTTTGTGTATTTGTGTATTTGTATCTTTGTATCTGTATCTGTATCTGTAGCCGTATCCCGCCCAGCTCTCTGCATCTTTTGCAGTTTCAGTTTTGTGTGTGCGCCGGGCTAAAGTAATTTTTCATATCATAAATTTTCAAGTCAGTTAATCCCACACGCGGCGTTCGTTGTCGGCTTCTTGCACTCTCTACGCCGGCTTTATTTATGCCTTCCGCCAGATTCTCCATCTCCATCTCCATCGCCGCCTGATGGCAGCTGTGACACTTTGACATTTCAGTGATAATTCATACTTTTGCATGTCATACTTAATTATGGCAACAGACTGTGTGGGTCTTTTATCATATTTAATTTCGGTCTCTTGCATTTCTTCTGTCAGGCACATCATTATTGCTCTCTTAGGCCGCCGCCTCCTAGGCATCGTCGGTTTTGAGCTCTGCGATCTGGGAAGACCCCAATCCAGACCCGGCTCAGTTCACTAATTACTCGACAGACATTTCCCAATCGTCTTCAAACTTAATTTATCACCTCCACTCGCCTGGCTTTGCCACGGATGATTAATACATTTCTCCTCTCATCCGGCAAAGTGACATAGAATATGTTTTGAAAAAGGGTTTTTGTCTTCGGCTGGGTTTTTCATATGCCAAACACATCAATCATCGCCATGGTTTCGAAAGGGGGACTGTCCCCGGGGCTAGTTCGCAGCGAAAATCAAATTTCCAGCAAAATCAGATTAGCGATTCCGAAATTAGTGACATGTCAACAGGCGAAGCAGGGGAGCATGAGGATTTGAGCCCGCAACCACAGGGAGAATCTGCAATCGTATTGGGTTTATTTCTCTAAATTCTAGGGACAGTTTCCAAAACCAAGTGGGCAATTTAAATTAACGCTTTTGAATGAAGAAAAGGAAAATCTTATGCTTCATCAACTGAATTAAATGTGTTGTCGTTAAAGTGTAAGACAATGCAATTCAAAAGTAGACATTGTTCTTAAAAAAATTATTAAATATTTTTTTGATCAAAACAATTCAGATTTAACTTATTAAACAGCATTTTAACATTAGGACCTTCAATCATAGTTGTTGTTTAATTTATACTTTTAACTTTTACTTAGTAAGTTTATTTAAATTGAACCTGTCCAAGAACTTAAAAAAATGTATAAATTTAGTTGTGGAAGGAATGTCGAATATTTTTTGAGTTAAGCAAACCTATTTAATTTCTTTTTTATGAAAAAGGAATATTTGTGTCTTAAAGGCATTCAATTAACATTACTATGGAAAAAGATGTATGCTATTTTTTTTTGTGTACTTAAAAGATCCCCTTTCCAAGGACCTGTAGGCAGTCCTTAAGTGAGGGTATTTTGACTTCGCTCAGCCCACTCAGCTTTTCGTCTTCGCTCGGTGTGGCTGCCATCTCGCTGAGTGATGTGCGGCCATCAATCTAAACTCATCATTTTGAAGGCGCGCTGTCAGCCATAATGACCGAGGCCAGGGCAAAAACTATATAGAAAAATGTCAGTCGAGTCTCACATGATGGAGCCAGGGGGCGGAGGAGGGGGCAGGGAAGGGGCTAACTGCTATGGGTCACACAATTCCGCACACAGAGTCGTCAATCATAATTTATAAATTGCTGTGCCAACTGATGTTTTGCGGGGGTGTGAGCGGGGCCGAATGAGGATGGAAATCCACATCTATTCGAGTTGTGTGTTTTCGCCTTTGTGCTCAGTTGTATTTTCTTGCGCTTGTGCCATATCCAACTAATTATTCAACGTCTCATTAAACAAATAAATGTGTCAGAGAAACATTTGTTTCCCATACATCACGGCCCAGAGCGATCGCTTTTAATGCAAGAGCGCGAAGGCCGCCAAATCACGTCATGTGAAAATGACAAATCAAATGAGATTAACACTTAATTTCATTCTGAAAGACGAAAACAGAAATAGAGTGAAATATTTCACCGCTCAGTGCGCATTCTTCGCCCGGCAGTACCTCCACCCAAGCGTTCTTGATAGATGTGAGTTCTGCGCATATTTCAGGGGAAATCACCTGACAGCCCGCCATATGGGCCGTGAAATTAAAAACCATAATTAAAAT